CTTTTTATTATACTAAATGCAAAATCATTTGCTGAATATATTTGAGCTTGTCTGTCTGTCCAGCTTAATGCCTTGTCGCTAACGTACAGGCCACGATTCTTGAGATATTTTGATGAAATTTCATATGCTGACAAGTGTTACCCCAAGCATTAACTCTACCAAAAATGGTTCCAATCCGACAACTTCTTCGATAACTTTCCGTATACCACATTATTTTGGAAAGCCATCTTATGAATACCTGTAGGGTGGTGTAGGTTGTGTAATGATGGGCTGCGGCTGTCTGTAATGTTTTTATTTAGTTAGTTGTAGGTTTAGTCCTTAGGCAGCAAAAAATAACAACAATGAATGCGGTAGGCTATCCAAAGCCTTAATAACCAAGACACGAACCAGCGAGCAACGACGACAAAGCTGAATATCTATGGTGGCCATATTTAAGGGGTAAGAAGACCATGCGAAACCGTCACTAAAGAGCAGTATTAATAACTGATGTAATTGCGACAACAGGTTGCGCATGATATACCAAAAATCATAATATCGTAAGTTATCAATATGACGAACTTATCAATAAGAAGATGTATCAAAAGTCGCCCAGGGCATGTTTCCAATTCCAGTCGGGAATGATATCAGCAGAGAGTACTCTTTCCGATTAACGGATGACTTATCCTTTGCACAAACTGCTTCCTTTCATACGGCACAAATATCGATTGTTTTGTGAATAGAAATACCTATAAATGCAATAATAAACAAGTAACCGGTTTTTGCAATAAAGCAAAAGTTGTTCATCTAATAAAGATGAGGGGCCGAATACAAATTAGCATACATAGAAGAACACAGATTGAAATACGTCCTGACAACAGCTGGCCATACTCCGAAGTGTTGTCGGTGTAGGATATAGACAGAAACGGAGTATGACAAAGCCTTTAATAGCAAAAATCTCAGCAAACTAAGTACTATGTACACCACAATAGTGCGTGGTGCTGCTGTTTCGTGTTCCTTCAAATGATAAAGTTTGATTCACAACAATGCAGTGAATTAGATAATAAATAGAGAGGAGTTAGCACATTTCCATCATTTGCCAATCAACACTTGATGCGGCTTTCGATCGATCAAACGAAGTTCTTACATAGTACATGGGCGACGACTGAACATTTAATTGAAGTTACTGACCTACATAACTTTTAAGCTTTTTAATGATGTACTCAAGAGCTTTTAATAACAATACTACCGCAGTGAACAACAGCATCTGTGATGTATGACCGACCGACCGACAGACCGACCGACCAACACAATTCATACATAATATGAAGTAAGTTAATGTCTACTACTATAACAGGTTTATTGTTTCATTTCATAACTGAAATCAATTCAATTTAACATCACCTAGTTAAGTCAATGAAATGCATATGTATAAATATATATATATATATGCTCGTATGTAGTGTTGTGGACATGCATAATACATATATATATATATAAAAACGGTTTATTGAAATATAAGACAGTTAGTTATTGGATTTTTTGAAAAGCACATACAACAAACAACTTGCCTTATAAACAAAACTTCAATAACATGCATACACATAGAATGTATGTATGTTTTTGTCTATGTTAATATAACAATTGCTTTTATATACAATTTAATTTATTTACCTTGTTTTTCTTCTTAACGCCATAAATGATTGTTCATGCTTTACACAAACAAAAAACAAAAACAAAGAAAACGTATATACTCAAGTACTTTGCTGTTACGTTAAAGCGAATAGGGCGTAAATAATAAAAGCGTAAATAAATAGTTAACGGCTTGCGATTAAACTTTCGAAAATCGAAATGTATTTTCTCCTTGGAGAGAAAGAGGATCATTGGCTTAGTACATTCCTACAAGTGGAGCTATTATCGCCAGACCACACAAATGCCGCTTCTAAAGGAAACAAGACGATATACTAAAACTTTTTTTTTTCTACGGAATGCAGTTTTTTAAAATTTCAATTATTTGTTACTAACACAGGGAGTGTTATAATAGTAAGTTATATAAAGCAAGTAAACTCAACATAATAGGACAGGGCCCAACATTAAATGCCCTGCAACAATTTACTTCTCAACTATGGAGTTTTACTTCTCGAAATAAGGTGTTTCATGAAGTGTGACCAGAAAAGTCCACTTTCTATACCGTTTGTCCTTGAACAAAAACATGTTGGTGTCATAAATTTCATTAAAATCTCGCAAATATTCCGACCTATACTAGTTTCCAAATCGATCCAAGTCGATCAAATCTTTCGCCCTTGCGCTGCAAATGGTGTAGTGTATATACATTTACTCAAATGAACTAAAGCAACTAAGAAAATTATATTCCTTTATACCCATCACCGCTATCTCAAAAAAGATTAAAAAAAAAAAAGGATTCCATATTCCATTACCCGAATAAAAGTGAAAATTGCTATTGTGTAACTATTGTACACTAAGAGTAACAAGCAATGAACAGGGAAAGCAAAGGTGTTCACAATTTTTGTTGAGACTAGATACTGTAGGCGTGTTCTTTGTCCAATCTGGAGTGCACATTTGTAGGCGATATCTTCATTTTTGCGAAAGGAAGGATGTTTACTGCAGATAGAACACATTTGAGCAAACGGCCAGACTCGATTTCGAAACTGGTCAAGAATTTATATACGTTGTGGAGTTTTTGAAGCTTGCTCTTATGTGCTTTAAAGGTATTAAAAAATGTTGCAATTTTAATAAACTATAACATGGGGAATGGGACGTGGTCAATTTTAGCCGCGCTTGCATAGGCATTAAAAAATCGCACACAGTATATATGTCCAAATTTTTGTATAACTATCTGCCGTTGAAAAACCCAATATTTTATTCATTTTGAGAAACTGACATATACTGTAGATGTGTCCTTCGACCGATTTGCCCCATTTTTAATACCAACCTGGGTGCAAGCACTTTCAATGTCGCTGCTAAACGTGAAGTCGATAGCTTCATTTTTGGAAAATGTTTACAGCGTGTATAAGACAGATGGACAGGCGGACATACTTAACTCGGTTCAAAATTTGTGGAGTCTCTGAAGCTTCCTGCTGGACGTTACAAACGTTTTGACAAAATGGATATATTTCCCATCCTTTGATATATGAAAAAGAAAATTATTTTATCCGTGTCACTTTTATATGACTACATATAAAAAAACTTGGGACGTTTAAGGTTATAATGTGGAAGCAACTCGGAAGGCAAGTTAGATAAAAGCTTTTAAAAAATGATTTTTCTAAAAACTATGGCGTTTTTTTCCAAATAGTACGGACGGTTTACGGAGTATTACTGCTGAAATCGATTACTCATAGATGCAAAAAATTCACGGAATGCGTTGAAATTGATTTTCTTCTACATCGATTAACAAATCAATTAAGTAAACGAAACTAATTAAGAGCTAAAAAACAATGTTTAAAACGTCTCCCATACAAAGCAATAACAAGCTTTTCATCTGAAGGCGTCGGTACTTTCAAATTAGTCATATTTTCTGTGGTTGCATATGATTTCAATGTCATTCAAGATAGGCTAAAATACTCAGTTTCAATTGACTTTACAAGATTAAAACGTTTGACAAAAATAGGAATTACCTGCGACTCGAGTAAATTTTTTTTCCTCAATTTCTTTGATTGTTTGTATTGTACAATGAAAAATAGTTTAAATTTATTTGCCCGTAGGAAATAGTTGTGTGTATATAAAATAGGATTTTTTTTTTGTAAGGTTCGATTATTAAAATCAAGAAATTGCTTAGGCGAACTGGGCGAATGAATTAGTTTCACTCAATGTCGGCCGCTTGTTAATGAGCTAATGCGGGAAGATAGTGTAAAAAACGGCAAAAATTCAGCAGTAATCCGACTCCGATACGATTGTTAAACGGTCTAACGAAAGTAAGCAAACATCCAGAAATTTGGTCAAAAATTGTTAAAGTTCACCACAATAGGTTGCGCAATTAAACAAATAAGATAATTATATTCGGTTCTAATCGCAGCAACTTTTCGCAAAAAACACAAGAGAAACAAGAAATTTATATTCGGCGGTGGCCGTACATTGCACACCCACCACTATGCTTTTCGCATTCTATTCTCCCAGTTCTTTTATTTGATAGTCATATCGCTGGCATCATTAAGAAAAATTTAAGCGCGGTGTCTACCATATTCAGTCAACATATTTAGACAGGTAATATATATCTTTATTTGAGGAGTTTGCAAAATAATGTTAAGCATTCTGTCTTGTTTGTGTTATGATAAATAATGTGTGCTGTTAGAACGACCATTTTCGGAAAAAGAGAGCTAGAAAGTTGAAACATATACTCGCATACGGTATAGATGAAGTTTGGAAACTGAATCCGGGATTAGCTGGAAACATATGCATAATTCATACGCGGCATTGGCCGAAAACTCAAACAAAGTGAGCACTAGCAAAAAAAAGTGGGAAACAGTGATCTTGAGGCAAATATTTCATAAAATGGCGATCGAGCAACTGACACGTTCCCACCATTTAAAATAATTTTTTGACAAATAAATGCATTGGTGCGAGGTAATGGATATCTTGCGATATAACTGGATGATGTCGTGATGAAAGATAGAAAAATAGAATCTTTTAGCTACAAAAACTAACTATAGTTATATAATATATATCGTAATTTATATAGTTTCGGAACCTTGGAGTATCACATATCAGTTCCTCTTAAAGTTAAAACTATTGGACTTGAGGAGAAGAACTTTTTACCTAAAATGAAAAAGTGTCCAAATTTATTAAGAGAATGAACCTAAATACCTTGGCATACACACGTTCAACAAAAAGTTATCTTAAGCTGGGATAGGATTCAGAAATTGAATAATTCATTCGACGATTATTTCAAAAATAATTAAACAATTTAACGATGATTTTATAATGTTTACGCTCTAACTGGAACCAATTATTGCTTTAATATATTACAAATAATCAATTAATCTATTTAAGCTTAGGTTAAAACTTACCGAAACTATTGTATTGAATACAAAAAGAACATATTTAACAGCAGTTGTGCCGCAATCCATTTTATTCGAGTTTATTTTCTTTTATCACCAAAAAAATTCTGCAAATATTTAAAAAAAAAAAATTACATAAAACAAATTATATATGAAAGTTTCTCAAGAGTCATAAATAAATAAAGTGAAAGTATAAAAAAAAAATTTTGAATGTCGTCATAATGTTTGGAATTATAACGGTGATCGCACAACAATGCTTTAAAATATTCACGGGATGAAATATTAGTAAGTAAATATTATTATAAGTTAATTAGCTACGCAGTAAAAACGTGTGATTCCTTTTGTAGGTGCATTCAAGAACATGTCATTGACATTATTACTGAAATTTAACAAAAGTCAAATTTTTGCAAATAAAAATCGAAATGAAGGTTATTTCTTGTGTAATAATAATAACAACAACAACAACAACAACAAACACGCATCCATCCATGCATTATCTATATAGATATAGAAAGAAGGAAGTCTTCGGATTGACGACGAGGGCGATTTTTATAAAGAAGAGCGCAATCTCGATATAATGATCTATTGAATGGAAGGTAAAATTCAATAAAACAGGACATTTATTATATAAAAGCCAGTGAAATCATTATGATCAGCCAGGGTCGAGCTTCATATATGCTCCACTTTCTCGCTTAATACACCAAAGGATACTCACGTAAAAGCATAGGTGCCCAAAATGTCAACTGACGTGATCAACATTTATCTCAAAAAACTAGTCCATCCTGTCCACATTTTTCACGTCAACTTGGAATGAGGGAATACTTATACTCAACCAATTTTGTTGACGACTTTCGAAAATTGCAATTTTTTTCATATAACAGCTTGTCAAAATAAGTTTTTGTGGAAATTGATCGAAAAGGTTCAGTCGTCTTCGTCCTTATTTCATCAAAATATCTCAAAAATTGCTATCACATGCAAGCACATGGACAGACAGACACGCAAACTTAGATCGATTCGAAAAGTGATTCTGTACCGATCGTTATATAAAAGGTGGAACTTTCTTGCTTACGTACGTCGGCACCGTCTTAATAAACCCCATAGTGGGGTATAATTACGATATCAAGATTGAATACGAAAATACGTGGGCAGACGGATGAACAAACTTAGATTGATTTAAAAAAGGGATTTTAGTCGATCGGGTCCAGTGCTCGTCCTCGTGGATGTTGCACAGATCCGTACAAACTTAAACTGCAATTATACCACAAGTGGTGTGTAGCGTGTAACAATTAAGTCAAAAAGATAATTATGAAAAAATTGGAAACCACAAGTGGTGTAGGGCGTAACAATTAAGTCAAAAAGATAATTTTGAAAAAATTAGAAACGTTAGCTATTGGCGGGAGCACTTTCAAGCTTTTCAAAAACCGATTATTCAGCACATTTTTGTGCGCGAACAACCACAAATATAATAATTTTCAAGTTTTTTGCTCAATTATCGCACTTTAGAAGATCTTAAGACCACGCGAAAGCGACGTAAGTAAACCCATCAAATCAGATTAGAATCTGCTGCTACTCACGTTTAATGTAGTCTTTCATCACACTATACCGGAATAGTGAACGCACAAAAAAAAAGAAACAAATAAATAGACTTTCAAATATAATACATCCCCGCGTCATTCGACAGTAGCTATACGTAACTATAATAATATAAACTATTTCTTTTATTAATCTACATGCTGTGTGCCCAACCAAAGCCTACTCCCCTCCTGTTCTTATTGCGGCTTCTTCGTTCGCCAACAGATGTTTACGCAAAAAACAATTTCAGCATAGAAGGCATGCCTGTATATATGTATATATATATGTATTGTATTCATTCATTCGTAATGAAGATGAGAACAATAAAAGAAATAGAAACACAATGTATAGCTATAAAGATTCATTAGTTGACCGGCAATAAAGAAAAGTAAAGCGAACAAAAGCAAAGTTCCTCTATATTCGGTTTAAGCTGAATTTTCGTATAAATTTTATCATATAAAGGCAAATAAGTTTCGTAGATAGAGAAATATGCATATTTTAAATATAAAAAATAATTCTATGCGATATATAAAAATACAATACAAATATATATATGTTTGGTATATTCATTTGCTTTTTGTTTTTTTTTTTGAACTTTCGGGCTGTCAATTATAGGTGAAATGCGTTGATTTTTAAAAGAATTTGGGAGAAAGAGATAGTAAATGACAGTAGCATCTGTTTTGCCTTCGTCGACGAAGCACTGGCCCCAATTAAAGAAAGTATGGTCTACAGCAGTGAATATAGAGCCCGGGTTTGCCCGTTTAATAATCGCGCTTCTCATCTACAGTACACGAGAGCTTTGTTGTACCTATTGGAAGAATTTTAAAAATGCATCAAAGATTTCATCTTTCATGTCTGCTTTCAATAAGGGTGGAACGCTGACATAATGTAGTCAAACGCAAAATGGCTTCTCTTAGTTATATTTCAAAATCGCTAGCTCGAGAAATGTGGTTTCGACAAAAACGCAATTGATGTTTTAAGTAGCGGAATGTTAAGAAAGCTTTAATCTGCGAAGCCTGCGGCATATAATTAACCTACACTTTCAGCAACGAATTCGCGAACTCGAAGAGTAGACTTCTGCTAGCTACAGATTCCCTGCAAATCGACAGGTTGTTGCAGATTATTGATAGAATCAAAATTCAATTGAAAAGCATAAGGTGCCTCGATAAACATTTTTCTCTATAAAATTTTTGAAATGTCATTTTTCGAAAGCATCATTTAAGCCGATAAAAAAGTGTTAAAATTTTAGAGGGCAGATTGAACCTTTAAGGCTTAAAATTTTCATCAATTTCCGACGTATTTTCTTTAAAAAAGAATTCGTTTGTTTTTCTTTTATTAACATGTCAACAAAACCAAATTGTTGTCCGCAATACGACGGTATTGGGACTTTTTCCAATGATGTTACTCAAGTCGCTTTAAAGTCCTACACTTACTACGCATACGAAACACATTTTCGATTTGCACAAACCTCAATAAGAAAAAAACAACAAAAAAATATACAAAAAAAGACTTCGGCACAATGGAGTTTAATGGAGTCTAATCAATAACGCAGACTTGTTTATTACGTTTATTACATTAAGCAAGGCATTCACATCACTTTGAACATTAAACGCTGCAACACTTTATTAAATTGTCCTTCAATTTATTTTTTACGAAGAATTAAGTTTTTATTATGTTTAAATAAATAGTGCTTTGTATCACACAAGAAACAATTGTTCTCTCAAGTTTCCCATGTTTCATTTAAGTCATTATGACTCAGTGAATACAGTTTTTTTTTTTTTTCTTTTTGCACATAAAAGCATCCTTTACAATGTCATCTCTCTCTCTCTTTGTCTACATCTTGGTCTATAATTCTTTTCAATCATGTCGTCAAAGTAACAAGTAAATTTTTAAAAACAATGATTTTAGATGAAATACTTTGTTGTGTGCGGTTTTGTATTTAGGTACAGACGTCTATATATATTTTTTTTATATACAAAAAACAAAACAAAAAAAACGGCTAATTACCTCTTGAGCAACTTACTGCCACAAACACACAAAAACTTTTTTTAAGAGCACTTGCTTTACTTTTTCTATCTAAGCTTTAACAGGCACAGACACTGCCTTGACTGCCTGAATTCGAAAGATATTGATATGAAAGCGGAACAATGATTGCCATTCTGCTGCACATTGTGGGCTAATAGATATTCACCACTTGCACACACAAACAAACAATGTAAAGTGTTCCACACAATACATACTCTTCGCTTCACGCACCAACTTGCGTGCTTGCCGGCTGAGGGATTTTCGTATATATAACATCGTTTGCGGGTTAAAAACTCCAAAGTAGCAAACACACTTTTTTATTTTTGCTTCTCTTCCAAATACTTCTAAATGCTTTCTAAGACTTCACTTGCATCCAAATATTTCAATTTGCTTCCCTTGTTTCCAAAATTTTAAAAAGTGTTCCAAATGCGCATGTATACATCAATAGTATTTTTTATTTATCTATTTATTTTTATATATAAAAAAGATGATAATATTCTTATATAATTCTTATAATTCTTAGAATTTAAGGAAATTACGTCCCATTCAATAAATAATCTAAAATTATTTATATTAAATTATAAAACTATAAATAAATTAAACTCTTTTCAAGTCCTGGGTTTACTTGCTCCAATTATAATTCGAGTTACTATAAATATTTTTTTTTTTATACAATTT